TTCCCCCCCTCCGGCCGCCTCGCGGCCAATTGCGATCCTGACCCTGCCTCCAGCTACACCTCATTGGCCTTCCTCTCCCGCCCCCTGCAATCTATTGGAGCGCCCAGCGTGCCCCGTTGCACTCACTCCAATTGGCTTTCAGGACCCGTCAGTCAAGCGCGAGAGGCGCATTTTTTTCCCATGGACTTGACGGATCCGGAATCTCTAGGACCCCCGGCGTCTGGAGAAACAAATCAGAAACCAGGAGAAACCCAGCTGGGACCCCTTACGCCGTAGCAACAGTAGGGCCTCCCTTAGATAGACGTGTCGGACCACCAATCCGATAGCCAATGCTTTTTAAAACGCAATTGAGCCAAACCAATCGTGGTCGTGGAGCTAGGAACTGCAAGAGAACCAATGGGGTAGCGAGATGGGCGGGCGGGTCGGAGGGTCTGGAGGAAACCGGTGATGACGTGAGCCACAATGTGTACCCACCGCGGAAGTCACGAGCAGCTGGGGAATTAGCTCAAATGGTAGAGCGCTCGCTTAGCATGCGAGAGGTAGCGGGATCGATGCCCGCATTCTCCACACTTGAGTTTTATAAAGCAAACGGGATTCTTGAGGACGTCATATTCTCTTCGAGGGGGGAAAAAAAGGTGGCTACCCTAGGAGCGGGGTCCAGTTCCCTTAATCGTTTGAAGAGAAATGTGCGAACTAGGGAGTCCCTTTTGTCCCACGGAAGGGTTTACCCACGACCTTCCTCCGAAAGCCGGGCCCCCGAGGAGCAGCCCACCTTGTGCACTTACTAACAATAACCTGCCTTATTCCTAAAAGCACATGAGGGCGACATTTGTCGGCGGGGCTGAGAAAGGCAGGCGGCAAGGTTAGCGCCCGTGAAACCGAGCTCAGTGAACGCAGCATCACGCCCACGGGTGTGCGCGCAGTGCGTGGGAGGCCAGGGCTGCGGGTGCTCTGCCTGCGTGGGCAGCCCGCTAGTGAGCGCCTGCTCTGCCCGGCCCGTGGGGGGCCTGGCTCACGCGCAGTGGGGGCCGTCAGGCACCACCCAGGTAACACCGGGGAGTGGTATGTGAAACAGGCCGCAGAGAGGTGGGGATCTTCCCTGAGCAGGTGGCATTGCCACCCATGGGCAGGGAGGACAGGGCCGCAGGGAGAGAGCCCAAAGAGCCCAGGGTGAGGCTGTGGAGCGCCAGAGAGGCAGGTGTGGCTGGACTGTGGTGGGAGACGGGCATGGCCTGGGGAGATGGCAGGGATGATGGGTGGTGCAGGACCTTGAGGACTAGAGGAGGAACTTGTGTTTATGCTCGGAGGGAGGCCCGGGAAGAGCTGGGTAGGGGAGGGCGTGTTCGGGGGTGGCCATCCTTTAGAAAGGACGGTGTGGAGCCAGAGTAGCACAGGACCAGAGGGGCAAACTCAGGGCTGGAGCCAGGAGCGTGGGGGCAGGCTACAGGGAACAGCAGGACAGGGCTGGGACCTGCCCTCCTGGACACCTGGGGCGGGCCCAGCTACCCACCGGTTTCCTTACTCATTCATCTTCCCAGGACTTGCCCGTACCTGCCTCAGGCTCCTCCATCCCAGACTCTGAGGGGGGTCACCGGGCCTTGTGCACTGTAATTAAATGAAATAATGCAGTGCTTCCGGCAACGTCAGTGGGTCCCAAATGTCTCCAGTTATTGTAACTCCTAACCCAGCAAGGTCAACCTTTTTTATTCCATGGCACACATAAATGAATTACTAAAATTCTGCAGCACACCAAAAAATACATTTTTTGCCAATTTGACACCCCAAAAAAGGTATAATTTTGATTCATTCACACCAGATGGCTATTTTGTTGTCTGTCATATTTTTTATTTGACAATCTAAGGGAAAAGAGGTCAGTGCCCCTGACTAAATAGTCAGGTATTGCATGTTTTAAAAATCCTAACACAATCCAAAGGGTTGAAATCAGGAGAACTTCCTGAAGGAGGAGACATTTGAGCTCAGCTAATCATCAAGAGCCAGGGGGCTTTGAGGAGTGACTTTGAAATTCTGCATTGGTCTTACCATTGTAGAATTTTTAGATTTCACAGGTTACTACCTTCCCCTTTTTCTCTCTAATCTTTTTGTGATTTAATTTTTAATGTTAAAATTTTCAACCCATCTAGACTTTTTAAAAATTAATATAATTTCACACACACTCTACAATAGAGAGGGACCTATAATGCACGCCCATGTGCCCATCACCCAATTATTACTCCTTAATTTTGGGAACAGACATAGAACTGCCCGATTTTAATTCTATCAAGTAACAATTTTTAAAAAATGTCATTTATTATCATGATTTCATAAAAGGAAGGACATTTGTACACACACATACACTCAAGAAAGATTAACTCGGGATAAAGAAAAGGTTTTTTAATTGAATAAGCTCCTCTGAGGACAAAGACATCCCCCATTCGCTTTCCTTTTGTTATGTTACCAGGGCTCAGTCCTGATCTGAGGGCTGGAGTGGGGCCACCCTGGGGAAGGCCATGCTCTGGGGGGGCCTGGGCTAGTGCTGGGTCAGGTCAAGACCTGTTGTGACTGGAGAGAAGGGGCCAGATAGGGAGTTCTATTGGGATGTGAAGGGTAGACCCATTTTAACTTGGAAATTTAACTCTTCTGCTTCTTTTCTCTCCCCCACATTCAGATTCAATCTGGGAGGGGGGAGGTATTTCCTTTTCCATCATAGGAATGTTGGTAGCTCAAGTGTCGGTAGAAAGGGGAACTGGTGGGGTTGCTAATCATTAGGGCCACCAGTGAGCTTATGGGGAAAGTAGAGAGAAGTGGGCATTTGGGTGGAGAGAGACGTAGAGGGGTGGGAATCCGGGTGAGGACCTCAGCAAGGGTGGGACCAACAAGGGGGGGTCCCAGTGCTGTGAAGAACCAGCTGAGTGGTTCTCGAGAAGGTGCCCCAGGATGCCAAGTGGGACCCAAACCCTTCCCAACCATCCAGGGCTGTCTGGGACAGAACATTCCACATTACCCACATCCTGGTTCCCCACATCCTGCCTGGCAGTGGACATGCCCAAGATCTGGCCACATGGATTCTGTCCGGCTGCCCAGGGCAGCCGTGGCCCCCAGGGGACTGCTGGACCTGGCAGGGAGGAGCTCCCACACCCATCCTGGAACAGCATGTCATGGGTGTCACCTCAGATGTTGGAGGGAAGGTACAAGTCCTTTTGGCCAGGTTGAGTAGCACTCACTAGTCAATTAGTAACATTTATTGGATAAAGGAATGATTGGCCCTAGCTGGTTTGGCTCAGTGGACAGATTGTCAGCCCAACCACGGACCCTTGTCCATGGTTCAATTCCAGCCAAGGGCATGTACCTTGCTGGTTCCCGTGGTCAGGGTGTGTGCAGGAGGCAACCAATCCATGTGTCTCTCTCACATCGAAGTTTCTCTCTGTCTCTCCCTTCTCCCTCCCACTCTCTCTAAAAATCAATGGAAAAAATATCCTGGAGTGAGGATTAATCAAAATAAATAATAAAATGAAAAAATATATATATTTCTTTTTAAAAGGAATGATCGAACAAATTATTGAACAAGCCTTGGCTTCCTTAACTACCAATTGAGGATACCATCTGCCTAGCTGGTCTATTGTGAAGTTTAAATGAAAAAAGCTGGGTTAATGTCATCCTCTCATTTAAGACACAGCTGAAACATCACCTCCTCCAGGAAGCCTTCCCATCTGAATGCGATACCCTCTCTGGGCCCCCGATACCCCCATGGCTTTGGAAACTGCCGGCCTCTATCACTGGATTCAGAGCACCTTCAAGGGAGGACATCGGACTAATGTCTGGGTCCCCCAGCGTGTGACTTAAGTGCAGGGCCCTGCACACAGTGGGTGCTTACTGAAGGCTGACAGACTGACTTGGCACATGGAAGACCAGACCAGATTGTCCTCCATGCCCTCTAGCTGACCACACGGCAGGAAAGCATGCAGGGGAGTGGCCTCTGGCCACCAGATGGCACCCCTAGCCATGCAATGGCTCCATCGGGGCTGGGTTGGGTGCTAGGGGAGCGAGGGGGAGGGCTGCAATGGGTAACTCTCCCTACCACCCCCACCCCCAGCCCACACAGGCCACCAGGGGTCAGCAGCCCAGGCCACTCTTTCACTTCCCCTTGCCTGATCCCTGGCAGACCCTAGCAGACTGAATGTCTGGCTGGATAGGAGAACGGAGCAGGTGTGCTCCAGGGGATCCCCAAAGCATGAGTGAAGGGTAAGAAAGTGAAGGGAGGGTCTCCTAGGGGATCCCCACAATGCAGCCATTGCTTCTGAGTCAGCGAAAGTGACCTCCACTTCCTGCTTGGCTGCCTAGGTGGAGATTGGTGCTTTAATTAGCACCTCGGGGTGTGTGCTCCAACCTGGAAGAACAGGAATCCGGGGTGCTTGGCAGCTCTGTGGGGCAGAGAACCCCACCTTGGGCTGAGACCCTGGGTGCACCATCTAGCTCTGCCGGTCCTTAGCGGTGTGAGCTTGAGCAGGTGTGTCACCTCTGAGCTTTAACGTGTCCCAGCGCCGATTCACCAAGGACCTGCTGCTTCAGCCAGGCAGACTGGGCGAGGCGTCTTCATGGGCATTTATCTCTTGGAAGCCTTCCAGCCGTCCAAGGGGTGGTGACGGCACCTTGCTTAACAGATGGAGCCAGCTGGCCTTCCCAGATGCAGTCTGACCCCTCCTGCTTGCAAAGGGGCCTGGGCATAGGTCCCGCCAGGTGGCCCCGGCAGCCCTGGGTTGGAGCTCAGCACTGGCTTCTGGTGCTCACTGTTGCTTTGTACTGTCCCCGGCATCTGCCCTCCGTCAGTGGCAGGAGCATCCACAATCAGGGGTCAGGAGAGGTGATTCCTGAAGGTCCACCCCTGAGGTCCCCAGCTCTGTCCCCTGGCCAGGGAGTCTTGGAGTGCTAAGGGCCTCTGCCTTCCCACCGCCTCAGCGCCAGAGCTACAGGATCCAGTGCATTCTGGGGCCACCCTTGTGGGAGGTCATCTGCCAGCTGATCCATTCACCTCGCTCAGCTGTCACCTCTGTATCCAGGCCCTGGAGGGGGGATGGCTCAGGGTCCTATTGGGAGGCCCTCCTTCCAGATCTCTGCTTTGACTCCCAGCTCTATGCGTGGGGGGTCTTCCATGACCCACCTTAGACATTCCAATTAGGGTCAGGCCCTTCCCAGCTCCCCCTGGTCCCGGGAGAACAGCCCAGCTTCGTTACGACACACCGTTGCTTGCTGACTTCTCTGTCTGCTTCCACAGATGGGGACCCCAGGGGCAAGAACCAGGCCTCATCTAGTCGTCTCCTCCCATACTACCCAGATGGGCACATGGCAAACCTCGGATAGCGTTCACCGACTGACTGTGTGAGGGCCGGGAAGGAGGGGCCAGAGCAGGCTGGGGGCTTCCTTCCCTGGGGAGAGTGTGGCCTGGCAGCCCCATCCACTGTGCCCACAGAATGGCAGGACCAGGAGGTGCCCCTAGTCTCCAGCACTGTCTTGATGGGCACAGCAGCCTGGGTTGGCACACTCAGGTCAGATGGTGGCAGAGACTGGCCAGGAACAGCCCGAAGCCCAGCTATTTAATCTGCAAAACCTAGTGCAAAATTAAAACACAGGGCCTCTTTCTCAAAAACTATTTATAATTGCAGGATGGCAACAGCTGAGACAAAATCAAGCCCGAGGCCCTTCACGACTGCCGCCATGACGCTGGCCCTGCCCACTGGCTTTTGCCCTCCCACGCGGGAGCCTGATGAAGCGAGACGCCTGCGCCAGGAGGACAAAGGCCGTCCAGGGGAGGGCCAGAGGTCGGAGTTTGCTCCGTGGGGACACTCCCCTCCAACGCACACATGGCACAGAAGAATGGCAGTGATGTTAAAAAAAAAAAAAAGGTTTATAAATATTTTCTCCACTGTACAAAGTTTCCCCAGCCCTGCCCACCCATCACTGTTCACATGTCTCCTGTTTTTAAAAATCCCAACTATATTTATTTTTTAAATCATAAAATATATTTTTTCTTTGTTCATATTTAAAACTATTTACAGGGGCGCAGAGAGGCCAGGGTGGCCCGGCCGAGGTCAGGACGAGTCCGTGCAGGGGGACGGCGGGGGCGGGAAGAGGTGGAAATAGCTCCTCTCCCTGGCGGGGGGCGAAGGGGGGCGGCTGTCCTCCGCCGACAGGTACTGGCTGTGGGGGGTGGGCGGGGGCGGGTGGGTGTCTGAGTCCGAGTTCAAATCCAGGTAGTACTTGCTGGCCTTCCAGCGGCTGGCGCTGTAGTCGCTGTCACACACGTCAGTGCTGCAAGGCGTTGTCGGGGGCGCTATGCCACGGATGATGTAGGGCCTGCATGGGACAAAGAAAGTGGGTGGGGCTTGATTTGAGGACCGGATGGGCACAGGGGTCCCCCCAGTCACGTGGCCCCTGCACCTCCACATCCCCACCTCTAAGTAGACGTGCCTCCACCTCCCCATCAGGGCTCCCAGGCCCAGGCCCTGGCGAGCTTGGCAGCCCCAGGCCCAAGTCACCTTGACAGAGAACAAGGCCTGCAGAGCCTACCGGGTTGACCCTGGGCAACCGACTTAACCCCTCTTCACTTCAGCTTCTCACTGATGAAATGGGGAGAATGGAGCAGCGCCCATTTCAAAAGGGACTTGTGAGGGTTAAATGAGATTCTGCACAGAAAATGCTCGAAACTCCCTGCTAGGAGAAAAGTGCTTGGCGACCATTCCCCCTTATATACTGTCCCTCTGGCTTGGAAGGGTCCCATCTTGGGTTCAAGAAACCTGACCCCAGAGGTACCACCCAGCTGTCCTCCATGAGGGCATCGCGGCCCAGACACCTCCTGCGCGCTGAACCCTGTGTCGGGCTGCCACGCGGCCTGCGTGTGGGGCTGGGATCCCGGTGTTTATGATCCCCAGCTCCAGGCCACAGGGGGCTCACAAGGGACAGGAAGGAGGAGCCAGCGAGGGGTCCCTGGTGCTGAGGAAAGTGTGTAGGGGGAGGATTTCCCTCACAGGACCCCAAGAGCAGAAAGGGGCCCCCGAGAGGCAGTGGGAAGGGAAGAGGTATCAGAGGTGACACCCAAATCAGGGCAGAACAAGGCATGGGGTATTCCAGAGACTGAGGGGCCCGGCCTGGCTGGCGTGGGTGTGAGAGCCCTGGGGCAGTGACCTACGAGGCTGCTGGGGACAGACCCGGCCTGAGGCACTGGGGAGCCACTGCAGGTCCTTGCACAAGGCAGTGACCAGTAAAGAGGTGTGTCTCTCCAGAGACGGCCTATCTCCCCTGCCCGGCCCGAGTTCCCGAAACGGCCACTAGATGGCAGGTGACGCCTCACTCAGTCTCCACCGTGCCAGGTGACTCAATAGAGAAAGAGGGGCCTCCAACACCCCAGAGCTTCTGCCTGCACCTGGGCGGCCTGGGCATGTGCCAGAGCCCACCCCCACCCACCCCATCAGGTAGTTCACTTGGGGTGAGGGGCCCAGTGCACCTGGAGCCCAGCTGGCTGAGACCACCAGGTTGAAGTCAGGAGGGTCACCCCCCTACCCCACCGCAGGCCGTGACTGGCCCCTGGACACAGACCGGCACACCAGATCCCACTTCTCCTTAACATGCTCAAGTGCCCCCTTCCCACCAAGGGAGGAGGGGTCTGTGACCCCAATGTCGACCACGTGGAGGATGATAGCCGGGGTGGGGGCTGGGGGGTGGGCAGAGTCACCCCAGCACTTATGTGGATTAGATGTGATCCCGGCGTCACTGCCAGGGTCCCACAGCCATGCCAAGATCGGAATGAGTGGGAGCATTCTTCCAGGCCCCATCTGCCTGTCCTGGCTTAAGAGCCACTCAGAATTCGGGATCCGGTGGGCTTCTGGCCTCAACACACAGCCCCGGTCCTCTGGTGTGGAGGGCAGCCCGGTGAGGAGGAGAAGAGCCAGGGCAGGCAGGACTAGGGTCCATCATGTGCTCATAACCACCCTGAACCTCTCCCAGGTTCCTCCTCCTAGGAAACATGGACCGGACCCTCCCAGCCACAGGCTCCTCTGGAGGCCCAGCCAGCCACTCCCACCAGGGCGGTGCAGGGACTGCTCACCTGTAGGGCCTGGCGGGGGCGGGAATGTTCGAAGAGTAGAATACGTCCACGTTGTACATGGAGGGGTCCGTGGCGGGCGACGGCGGTGGGTTCAGGATCTGCGGAGAGCCCAGCGGGGTCACAGAGGCCCAATGCAGCTGTGTGGTCCTGCCACCGCCGCCAGGTGTCCCCCCCAGAGCAGGAGGTGCGGGTCCACACTGGACCGACCAGCTCAGCAGGCCCACACCTCCCAGGCCCCCTTATCTGGTGAGGAAGTTCACTTGTTTGGGCCATGGTTTCCTCAGCTCTAAAACGGGGCTGAGAAGACCTGCTTCCCCGGTCAGGGGCTGTCCTGACACGTGGTGAGTCACCACAAGAAGTACCCTTCCCCTGCCCTCAAAATAACAAGCCCAGCAGGTGGCTCAGTGGTTGAGCATTGACCCAGGAAGCCAGAGGTTGCCAGTTCAATTCCTGGTCAGGGCATGGGCTTGATCCCCTGCAGGGGGCATGCAGGAGGCAGCTGATCAACAACGTTTCTCTCTCATTGATGTGTCTATTTCTCTGTTCCTCTCTCTCTAAAAATCAGTACAAACCATTTTTTGAAAGGTAAAAAAATTACTTTTTTTGGAAAATAAAGTCCATACTCTTGTATACTTGCTGATGTAACATTACTCAGGAAGCACACACAGGAATCTTGCCATGGAATGTTGCTCTAAGGGGGTCCCTGCTCATGGTGGGAGGCCCTCCTCCCTGCGCATTCTATTGTGCCTTTTGAATCCTGTACCATGAACATGCGTTACTGATGCAAAATCGTGTCGTTACTTTAAAAATAGCTGGCTCCATGTGGTTTCTTTTTGGGGTGATGAAAATGTTCTAAAATGAACCATGGTGATGGTTGCACATATCTATGAATATACTAAAAACCACTGAACTGTACAGCTTAAGTGGATGAATTGTATGGTACATGAGTTATATAAAAAACAACAACGGTTGGGCCCTGGCCAGTATGTGTCAGTGGTGAGAGTGTTGGCCCACGCGCCAAAGGGTCACGGGTTCGACTGTCAGTCAAGGGAACGTACCTGGGTTGCGGGTTCGCTCCCCACCCGATTGGGGCGTGCGTGAGAGGCAACTGGTCGATGAGTCTCTCCCACATTGACGTTTCTCTCTCCCTCTCCCCCCACCCCTCGCTCCCTCCCTTCCATTCTCTGAAAGTAAGGACTCACAACAGCAACAAAAAAACCCAGCTGGCTGTTCATGTCACCTCTTGCTGCCTAGTAAGATCCCCAGCTCCCAGCAGAGCCTGGGACAGAAAAGGCAGTCTCCTGAGCCTCCGGTGTCTGCACGGGAGGCCAAGGGGCCGCTTCCTGGGGCAAGCTCGGCCTTACAGGGGTTCCCGGTGCATCCGGCTGGTTCCGTGGGGCATGTGAGAGTCAGCAGGGAGGACAAGAGGAGTGGTGGTTGGTATTTTTAAACTCCAGGCTTCTGGGTCCTACCTGCCTCTGCCCCGAAACGCAGTCAGGTCCTGGAGCCTCCAGGAGACTCCGTTCCCGTCCTGCGAACCCGAGATAACAGCTTCTGCTGCCCCCTCCTCCCCTTCCAGGCCTGCCAAGCTCAGGGCCGATTAGGAGGAGGCAACACCCTGACGTGCGGGACGCCCAGAGGGGCAGGAAGGCCTGGCCCTGGCAGGTGAGCTTGCTGGAGACCCCAGAGAAAGCTCAGGGCTGCCCTCACCATAGAACATCCAATCACAGGGAGTCAGGTTTCAAAGGATTGAAAACAGAACCTCCAAACTCCGATGTTTATATACACACAGGCTCACCTGCGTGCCTCACTCACCAGTCACCCTGGAGCTGTGCTCTTGGAAAAGAGGGGACCCCGGCCAACCTCAGGGAGAGGGTTCCCACGAGGGACCCCCCAGCGGGGCCTGGACACTGTACAGTTGTTCTGCTACCAGGTGTGGCCTGGTGAGAGCCAGCCCCTCCCCCCACTGGGGCTGCCTGCGGCTCCAAGGAGCATGTCAGCCACAAAAGTCACCCCATGAGGGCCTGCCCATTAGAAAACAACCCGGCTCTTTTCTGGGAACCAGCAAGCACTTGGTTGGAAAACAGAGTGTTCCTGGTGGGGATGCTGAGGGGGGGCTTGCACAAGGGCCCCCGAGCACCCCATCTAGACAGAGTGCAGAATAGAGACTGCGCTCGGACAGTGAAATGCCTGCTAGCAACCGAGGAGGTGGGATGATGGGTGGAATTTCCGTTCTAGATTTTTGTGTGGTTCCCAGATTATCCCCGATGAACAAGGCGTGCCCTTTTCTAAACTGAAACAGTGTCGCTGGAGAGGAAAATGGCAGGCGGGCAGGGGAGGAAGGGGAATCCTCTGGTGGAACAGCGAATTAGTCTAGGAATCCTGAGGTCCCAGAGGCGTCCCCCCGCCAGCCAGGCGTCCTCCCGCCCCCACTCACCGGCGGGTACAGCGTGGCCTTGGTGCTGGAGGAGCTGCTGGACGAGGCCCCGGTGACGTGGTTCCGGTCGTAGAGGGGCACCCCGCCCCGGCCCCCCATCAGGCTCACGGAGCTCATCATGGACTTGCCGCATGAGATGCCTGCAGGGGGAGGGGAGAGGGCAGGTCAGGCTGGGGTACCCCACAGACACAGAGGGCCCTCCACAGCTCCTGCCGCCCACAAGACCCAGGTCCAGGTGAGTAAGGCCCCCTGCCCACCAGCAGTGTGAGCCTCATCTGTAAAATGGGGAGACCTCCCCCAGGGACCACTGTGGGCCTGCGGGAGTGAATTCAGAGGGTCTCAGCACAGGGTCGCCTGGCATAGAGGGGGCCCCATTCTCCGGGGACTGCTGCACCAATGACCAAGCCGCTCCCTTGGGCCTCCCGGAGCTCTGGAGAAACCCCTGACTGCCCCCACATCCAAGCAGAATCAGGCCTCATCTGCACAGACATCAGGGTCCCAGCAAGGCCGGCTCTGGGCAGGGGAACAGGACAGGAGAGAGGAACCCAGGGCTGGGCAGGCACTGAGGAATCCCCAAGGTGGCCCTGAGATGACCTCAGTGACCCTCTCGGGGCTGAGCACTGACTGACCCCACCTCCTTGGCCGTGGCGTGAACCGTGGGCTCAGCCTGGTAGTGCCACCTGGGAATCCACACCTGTGGCCTCTCAGGTCCCTGGTCTTGGTGGACTACACCTCACCGTGGTTTTAACTGTGCAGCCACCATCCTAACTGCGCTCAGGACAAAACTGCTTGTTATATACCCAGTGACTCCTTTGATTCTAGAGCAAAGCGAAATACCCGTCTCCCCCAAACACTCAAGACATGTTCCACAAGAACACTAAACACCCTGGCTGGGTATCTCAGTGGTCAGAGCATTGTCCTGATACGCCCAGATTGCCAGTTCAATCCTAGGTCAGGGCACATATAAGAATCAACCAACGGATGCATACACAAGTGGAACAACAAACTGATGTTTCTCTCCCCCTTCCTCTCAAAACTGATAAAAGATCAGTAAACATTATTTTTTAAAAAAAAGGAATACTGAAGGTTAAATCCAAAGAGCTTGCCCACACCCCAAGGCCAAGGACGGGCCGTAGCTGTGCAGCCTCTGCACTGAGGACTCTGACGCCAAGCAGAAGCTCAGGAGAGCCTGCGTGCTGTGACCGACTAGTGATGTCTGCCGCACGCACGACACGGGGCATGGCAGCAGCATGCCTGACCCACTCACCCATGTCCTGCCCAGACTGCTCTCCCCACCTCTGCCCAGGGCCCTGCACATCGCGGCTCCTTACCTGTGAAGGGACCGTGTTGTGCGGCACCTGGGGCTATGAAATTGAGGGGCACGTGAGGCGTCCCACTGACGTACTCATGCGGGAAGGGCCCGTTGGCCCCGGTGTAGCGCTGGCACACCACACGCTGGCAAACAAAGTAGACCCCGCCCATGACGAAGAGCGAGAGGATGATGCCGATGACGGGCCCAATGGCACTGCTGTGGGCCGGGCCTTCGTCCAAGGGCGGCTTGGTGATATCTGCCAGGGGACAGACAGGAAGAGGGGGTCAAGGTTAACTGCACAGGAACAGGCTCCCCCGTGGGGAGATCCCGTGGGGTACTGTGGGCCCTGGAGGAACTGGTTCTGCCTGGGGCCAGCATTCACTGACGGGGGGCCAGAAGGAGGGGATGCTGGGGTCCTGGGCTGGGGACCCATGCTAACCTCAGTACCACCCACCCGCTGCCCCCTTGGCCTGCCTGGAGCACCGTCCTCCCCGCTCCTCCCTCTACGCTCCCCCTCCTCCTCCATCTGGCTAAGCTCTATGTATATCCCAAGGGGCCCTTAACAGTGACTCCCCCACAGCAGCCTCATGTTCATCCCCCTTTGCCCAGCGTTCTCTGTAGCGGCTGGAAGTACAGAGTTGCTCCCATGAGTCATGAGCTGGGCCAGGAGGCCCTCGGGGCTGGTTCCAGGACTGACCACCAGGCAGTAGGCATGGGGCAGGCAGAAGGAGCCCAGTGTCTCCTAGCCCAGTGGTCGGCAAACTGCGGCTCACGAGCCACATGCGGCTCTTTGGCCCCTAGAGTGTGGCTCTTCCACAAAATACTGACTTCTGCACATGGGCCACGAAGTTTCAATCGCACTGTATGTGCGCGCCCACACGTGGTATTTTGTGGAAGAGCCACACTCAAGGGGCCAAAGAGCCGCATGTGGCTCGCGAGCCGCAGTTTGCCGACCACGGTCCTAGCCCATCTAGCAGTGGACTTCACCTGTGCAGAGGGGCTGGGCTAACAGGTGTGCCAGGGGTCCAGGGCCTTCACTAGCAGCGCTCACGGAGCCCCGCAGAAATCCTGTGACAGGGCCTGGCTGAGGGGGCTCAGCCCAACTTGCAATGCCAGGAGCTGGCTCTGGGCTGCAAAGGTGCATGCCGGGGTCCTCTGGGCGTCCTGAGCTGGGGAGGTGGTCCCGGGGCCTGGGAACACTGTCTTTGATTCAGACAGAGCAGGAGCTGGAGTCTGGGCTCTAGACTCAACATGGGCACAGCTCCGGCGAGGGTAAGCCTGCTGCCTGACCGATGCCACTGGCTGAGGTGCCTGGGCAGGAGCAGGACAGTTTACACTCAGGCCAAACCTGGCACCTGTGCATGCCTTCTCCCAAGGGAGCCTCCCGTGCCTCTCTCCCAGCTGGAACACCCCGAGCTCACGGTCTCCCTCTCCCCTCAGCTCAGCTGCCCAGCCTCCTCCACTCGGGGAAAGCTTCCCTGCCTGCCAGCAAGGCCAAGGACTCCCAACCTCCTAGCCTCTGAGAACACTGCCCCCGTCCGCTTCTCCTTTCTGGACCCCAACTCCGAGGCAGAACCTCAGCACCGGGGGGACCCCGCCCTCCCTGGGAAGCCGGCTCACCACACATGAGCTCGTCGGAGCCGTCGATGCAGTCGGGGAAGGAGTCACACTGCTGCTTGATGAGGATGCACTGGCCACTGGCGCAGCGGAACTGGTTGGGCAGGCAGAGGGCTGCGGGGAGGGATGCTGGCACTCAGAGGCATCAGAGGGCCCGGCGTGGCTCTCTGCCCCGCCACCCAGGACCCAAGGGAGATCTGGATTCCAAATGTAGAGGGACACACGGACCCTTTCTAGGACTGGGCAGGGAGACGGCAAATCCAGCTTTCACCCTCCCCTCGATGGCCCTTGTCCCAAAGCTGCTGCAATGCTGGGGTCAGGGCCCGCAGGGCAGAGACGGTACTGACCGGGCTCCTTCCTCGGCATGAACAGCGCAGGGACTCACCCAGCCCCTGCCCCAAGGCTCTCCCAGGTACGGGAGGTGAGCCAACCAGAGGATCACCCACGAAAAGCCTTGGCTCCCTAGAGCGGGGGGCTGGGGGGGGCAGGACACAGGTGATGTCTCAGCAGAGCTCAGCTGTGAAGGCAACGGCACCCACACAAGTGACCCACGCAGCTCGCAGCCTTTCCGGCCGGAGGAAGAGAGAGGCTGGGTACTGATTACTGCTGCCGCCTCCCTTCCTGCGCCCGAATGCTGTCGGGGAAGGAGCTGGAGCCCCACCAGGAAGGCAGCTGGCCAGGGGCTCAGCCACCGGGCATACCTGCCATCTGAACTCCTCCCTGCCCTGCCCAGATGCCCCAAGAACCACTTAGGAGGCTTCGGAAACAGAGGGTGGCGCCCGGAGCTTGCACTGGGGCGGGCTGTGAGTGCAGCATGTGCACCGGAAGCAGCATTTACAATGGGAAGGGGAGGGGACAGTTCCTGATGGGGCTCCTGCCCTCCTCACGATCGAGGCCAAACACAGCCGCCGGGCATGAGGGTACAGCCGGGCTCAGTAAGTATTTAGTCACTGAGGGCCTCTGGTCTCTATTGCAACTGCTCGATTTCGCTGTTCCAGCACAAGACAGAAACCAATGCGCCTGCTGTGTCCCAATCAAAGTTTATTCACCAAAACAGGTGTGGTCTGGATTTAGCCCTCAGGCCGGTGTGCCAATCCAAATTCCCAAAGGGTCTCTTAGCTGGGAAGACTTCAGAATGGTGACTTTACAGAAACCTCCAGGGAAATGACGCTAATCGTGAATAGGGGCGGCAGGCCGTGACCGGGCAGCACCCAAGTTATCTAAGACAGGACCCTTGGCTACGGGAGAGGCAGTAAGAGCGACCCATTAAGAGCTCGGTGGCCGTCCTGGGGCCGTGGTGTTAACAACATGTGACAGGAACCTGCAAGCAGGCCACTTATACAAGGAAAAGTCACAGGGGAAACAGAGAGATGTTTCCCTGCAAAGGTCTAAAGCAGTGGTTCTCAACCTGTGGGTCGCGACCCCTTCGGGGGTCCAATGATCCTTTCACAGGGGTCACCGCCTAAGACCATCGGAAAACACATCTATAATTACATATTGTTTTGTGATGAATAACTATGCTTTAATTATGTCCAATTTGTAACAATGAAAATACATCCTGCATATCAGGTATTTACAGGACGATTCATAACAGTAGCAAAATTACAGTTATGAAGTAGCAACGAAAATAATTTTATGGTTGGGGGTCCCCACAACATGAGGAACTGTATTAAAGGGTCGTGGCATTAGGAAGGTTGAGAACCACTGGTCTAAAGGAAGATCCTGCTGGTCACAGTGGACCTGGGATGACAAAGCCCATCTCTTGGTAACTCCTGGTTCCATGGGTGGCTAGAACCTACTCAGGGATAAGTGTTACCCCCACACACAGGTCACAGGTGGCCAGCCTGCCTTGTGGGGTGGGATTTACCCAGGTGCAAACCATGAACATCCAGCTACTGGACTTGTCTTCTTTCTGTAAAACTGTGGACCGAACGAAGGCAGGCAGGACTGACTCTTACACTCCGCCTTCGAGTCAAACTGCTTGGCAGGGCAGGATGGGGGCAAATGACAAGGTTTTCCACATTTGGGCTAAAAAGCAACTTCTTTCCCTCCCAAGCTGAGGAGGACCTGGCGATTTCTCTCCTGGCAAAGGTTTTAGAGAGATGCTACCCTTGTGGCCAGAGACCTAGGAGAGGGTAGGACAAGTGGCTTCGGGGGAATTGCACAGCTCCAGAAAGGATATGGACAGGGCAGAGCCTAGGTAGGGCCAAACCGGAGAGAGGCCAGATTGGGGGGTAGGGGGGGTGAAATAGGAGCAGTGCTTTGGTGGATGGGGATTGGGTAGGGGCGGACGGGGCGGGGCCTCACCGTCACAGTCTGCCTCATCTGAGCGGTCCTGACAGTCAGCCTCACCGTCACAGCGCAGCCTCAGGTCCACGCACTGGCCCCGCGCACAGGGAAACTGGGCGTCGGAGCACACCGGGCAGCCCTCCTCGTCGCTCTGGTCGTCACACTCCGGGAAGCCGTCGCAGCGCCAGGCCGCGGGGATGCAGTCGATGTCCCCCGTTGCACAGGTGAACTGGTCCGGGGAGCACGTGGGAGGCTCTGGGGGGGACATTCCTCTCACAATCCAGGACCACTGGCTCCTAACTGCTCACCTGCCCGCCTGCCTGGACACACTCACCCACCGCGCAGGCCTGGTCACCACTAACTGTCCTCCCCTGCTGGCCTGGTCACCCCCAACTGTCCCTCCTGCCAGCCTGGTCACCCCCAACTGCCCTCCTCTGCCAGCCTGGTTGCCCCTAACTGCCCCCCCTGCTGGCCTGGTTGCTCCCAACTGCCCCCCTGCTGGCCTGGTCGCTCCCAACTGCCCCCCTGCTGGCCTGGTCGCCCAACGCAGCCTGCTGTTCAGTGGTTTGGTTGTCCCTCACTAAACCCCTTGCCGGCCTGGTCACCCCACGTAGCCTGCTGTTTGGTTGTTACTGTTACTGTGACGGTGTCCCAGACAATTTGCATATTCCTCTATTATTAGTATAGATTACACACACTTCTAAATAACACATGGATCAGAGAAGAAGCCATATGAGAAATTTAAAAACATTTGAAATGAAAATGCAAATGCAAATTATGAAAATTTGTGGCTGCAGCCAAAGCCAGGCCTAGAGGGAAATGCATTGCCCTGAATGTCGATGTTAGAAAAGAGAGGATGACAAGGAGACAGTCTGCTTTGGAGACTGAAGGCCACAGGGACTATAACTTTAATAAAAGAATGCAGGGCAGCAGCCAGTGGGCAGAGAATTAGGTCCCAACAGAAGGTACTGAGGTCATATCTACCACCACAGGTCAGCAGGTTCTGCAGGAGCACGAGGTGGACCGGGCATGAGCACCGTGGTGTCCCGTCACCCTTGGCAATGCAGATGTGGGAGCAGCCGCCGTTGTCCCGGGCACATGGGTGGGCCGCTGCAGAGACAAGAAGGGAGGGGGTCGAGCTCTGCCTCCCACCTCAGGACCGCAGTCCAGAGGGTGGAGGGGATGAGGGCCAGGGGAGAACTCACAAGAGCCGCACTCTCGTTGGCCAGGTCCCTACAGATCCTCCCACTTAATTCCCAGGGCAACCACCGGAGCCTGTGTCTAGTGACATTGCATTTTGCAGATGATGAAACGCAGGCCAAAAGCAGTTACCAAACTTCCCCAACGTCACAGCCCAGCGTACCCTCCCCAGCTCTCACTGTGCCTACAACTGTCACTCTACTCTGCCCACCTGTCTGCCTCTCATGGTGCAGAGAGCTGAGTGGTGGCCCCCAAAAAAGATATGTCCACATCCAAATACCCAGAACTCGTGAATAGGATCTTATTTGGAAAAACGATCTTTGCCAATATAATCAAGTTAAGAATCTGGAGTTGAGGTTATTCTGAATTATCTGGGTAGACCTGAGTCTAATGCTAAGTGTCCTTATAAGGGACGACAGGGGATGTGCCGGAGTCCATTCATTGTCTTCACTAGCTGAGTTTAGACAGAGACCCCCCAAAAGCTAGTAGTCATTGAAAGTCCTGGCAAAGGTCAGAACTGTGCACCACCCAGTTAATTTAGATAATAATAGTTGAAGCATCCCCACCTTAGTTCACTTAATTCCTTAGATACTTATGTAGATCCTTGTTGATTATTGTTAATCAGATACTCCCAGAAATCTATTGATGAGCTAATCAGATACTTTTGTCTATTCCTGGAAATTGTTTGCTGATCTGTGTGTCATTGAAACTTCCTTACCCTAAGGGCTACTCCAGATCAATAAAAGATTGGAGCGGCCTGAGCATGGGTGGAAATCCTTCGGGACTTGGCCATCTGGTCCCCCAATATTGCAAAATTATCTCGTGTCTTTTTCTCTCATTTGTTGTGCGGCTCCTCTTTCAGATACCGAACCCTACTCCACGCAGAACGTGGAGGGAGTCTTACTCGACAATGCTTGTATATATGGAAAGCTCTTATCTGAGTGATTGGCCTATATAAACAAACTAGAGGCCCAGTGCATGAAATTTGTGCACTGGGGGTGGGGGGGAGGGAGCTTAGCCTGGCCT